TAGACCATATATGATCTGGTATTGAATATGAAATACCAGAAATATAGAAATACCAGAAATACATTTCTTATACTTATATATAATAAAGAATATATAGTTCTTATATATAATATAGAGATACAGAAAATGAAACACCAGACATACAGAAATACCAGAAATACAAAATTGCCAGAAATACATAAATACCAGACCAAATATTGCAACCATATTCAATGCCAAATCAGATATGGTCTTGTATTGAATATGAAATACCAGAAATACATTTCTCATATTTATTATATATAATACAGAAATACAAAAAATGAAATACCAAAAATACAGAAATACCAGACCAGGTTTGGCAACCATATTCAATACACGGACGAATGTTAGATCTGATATAAGCAACGAGGAATATAAATCAAAAAGTATATATATATATATATATATATATATATATATATATATATACATACATACATACTTAGAGTCAGAAAAAAAACAGTTGAAATTTTCCTTGATCACATAATGAGAAAAAAGGCTTAGAAAATTGTCCACTCACAAGACAGATAAATGAGACGCAACGAGTTACTTACATGACGAACTTAACGGATGGTTGAACGGAGAATGAGAGGCGTGTATTAAAAAGTCAAAACTTGCCAAGAGTTACAAAGTATAGAAAATAGTGGAGATCAATTGTCGCCGACTTCTTGAAGTGACACGTCACATAGAAGAATAATTAAGTATTCCATTGTGTGTTACGTAAACAGATGCATCACAAGATGATTCGTCATTTGTCAGATAATATGCATGCGTGAATACGGGCCTGTGTTAAGGTCCACTGAGGATTTACAGTTTAATTTAATGCCGGTGTCAATAATTTCGATATAACCCTTAATTAAGAATTTATATACGCCTTGATCTTCATATGCGATTATTTTCTATTATCCCGCTATATTACATGTATGTTTCATCTTGAGTAAATTGAAACACATAATCAATATATTACATGATTTATTTTCGTCATTCAAGATAGATCTCTCGAGAGAGTGATAGATTATTGAATCACAGGAACGGATTAAGTAGAAAAGAATAAATGTTTCGATATTTAACACATAAAATTTTATTGTTAATTTAAATATGATTATTATTATGAATATCAGGTTCTTTAGAGAAATCCCGATTCATATATGGTGATTTTTTGAATGTAGCTTAGATGTGGTACAAGGCCGCAAGTGTGGAGCACCTAGTGAAGATCGAACTCACTCGTAACTGATCTAGCGAGACAAACTTGCTAACCATTACACCATGTCGAATTACCCTAAATGTTGATTAATATGTGAATAATAAAAGAGTTTTTTATAACACGCTAAATAGATACATAGATACATGCATACATATATACATACATATATACGAACAGATTTAGATAATTATCAACAGACACAGATAGATAGATAGATAGATAGATAGATAGATAGATAGATAGATAGATAGATAGATAGAAACAATGTTTACGCGTATAGTAGGCGCCTCGTAGTGCAATCAATAACTGAAATTATCATCACCATCTTGCTTTTCTTTATGCAAAGCGAGCAAAATGGCAATATAGATGCAGTCCTCAAACATTTACGTTTATTCTGAAATCTTATAAACAGTTCCTTCCAATTTTATTTACTACCTTGGCTTTCTTCAAAACAAATTAATCTGGGAATAGCAGCTGCTTCACTTCTAGCAAAGCATTTCTATGTCTGTTATATGCGGCAACCTTAAATAAACCTTTTCTACCCGACGCACTAAACATACAGAATTCTGTCCCCATCTCTTTCACCTAGTTTTACATTTCACAATTAATTCAAATTGATTTATCCCTTGGGGAAATTAGAATTTCACTTAAGTTTAGAGTAAATAATATATTTTTTAACAGTCCATTAAGTTATATTTGAGATCAGGTTACACAAAAACTCGGTCGCATACTTCAAATTAATCAGTTTATATCTCAGCGGATCCTCGGAATTAAATATTCAAACAGACTATATGACCTGTTCAAATAACAAAGCCAATGCCTTTCTTAAACGTTTGGATAAGAGGCAAGGTATAAAAATCAAAAGTACATGCAAATCAATGAATACCAGGTGCACTTAACTCTGGAAAATAAAACAATGACTCAAAACATAATAAAAAAATATAAATATAAAATGTTTGAAAATATCATTAAATAAAACCAATAACTAGATAACGCCATTAAGGCGTTGTAATGAGGAAAGAACGTAGGTGTATGCTTTAAGAAAGCATTATTCAATTGAAGATGCAAGGTTCGTGTATAGTGTCCCTTTATAGCCCCAGTAAACAAAAATGGCTCTCCCAAAGAGGAGAGTAACAAAACAAGGGGAGACAGCTCTTGATTATTCATAACATGCGTATCTTAAAATTCAATATTAATTTTTGAAAAGTTTCAAAAAATCCGGCATTATACATAGATTTATAATTTTATAAATATCTTTTATTAAGTATAGATTTATAGCTCCATACAATAAGGTATTAAATATGGATTTATAATTTTATAAAATGTCTTATTAAGCATAGATTTATAACTTCATAAAAATCTGGTATAAAATATTGATTTATAGTTTTATAAAAATATTTTATTAAACAAAGATTTATAGCTTCATAAAAATCTGGTATTAAATATAGATTTATAGTTTTATTAAGCTTGTATTAAATGTAAATTTATAGCTTTAAAGAAATCAGGGATTAAATATAGATGTTAAATTTGTTATTAAAGGTAAATTTATAGCACGTTAAAAACCTATTAAATATAGAATCGTAGCTTTATAGGAATCTGTTATTAAATATAGATTTTTAGCTTTATAGAATTTTGATATTAAATATAGATATATAATTTTATAGAAATCTGCTATTAAATATATATATTTAGCTCTATAGAATTCTGCTATTAAATATAGATATTTAGCACTACAGAAATCTGCTATTAAATACAGATATTTAGCTCTATAGAAATCTGGTATTAAATATAGATAGTTAGCTTTGTAGGAATCTGGTATTAAATAAAGATTTTAAGCTTTATAGAAATCTGATATTAAAATAGATTTTTAGCATTATAGAAATCTGGTATTAAATATAGATTGTTAGCTTTATAAAACATTGTATTAAGTATAGATATAAAAAATATATATAAGTTTATTATTAAGTTTAAATTTATAGATTTATAGAAATCTTGTATTGAATAAAGATTCATAAAGAAAATTATTAACTCTAGATTTCAGCCATTGATAATCAGCGTGGAAAAATGGTCGATGGACATTTCTGGTTTTAATAAACATTAAATCTTCTGCGAAGTAAAACTTAAGAATTCTTAGCCAGACTATTTCAGTTTATCGGTAGGTATTTTACGACTGCTAAAATTCGTTTGAAATGTTTGAAGTATAAGCTACTGAGATGTAGTTTCGAAAATGGTCTTTCGTTGGTTACGTGCAATATTCATCTGATGATGTCATTCAGGTTGAAATTGTCGCCAGATTTGAGATCAAGTTTACATTCCCATTTGAGCGAGAAGCGTTAATTGGGTAGACTAGATGAAGAGATTTCCCTACGGTGAAGGCGTTCGGTTATTTAATAGAGAAAGTATGTCAAAATATATTATAAGTATAATGAAACTCCATAGAATTATGATGTCTCGATACTTGACAAACAATAATTTCATGGTGCCAAAATCGGAAGATTTACACTTAAATAAAAAATGAACGATGCTTCGTGTTAGTAATATGTTTGAGATATTTTTCCGAATTTTGACAAAAGTTATTTCTGTCTCAGTTTCTGGAATGATGAGTTCCCACTATTTATTCTATTAAGATTCGGACTATTGTCCTCATATTTGTTGTTGTTATCATAACCTTTCGACGGTCGTGGACCCCCCCCCCCCCTGTTCGCCAGCATTCCTCAGCTGTATATCGATCTGGGTAACCAACGGTGAATTCTGAACCGAAACCTTTATTTAATCTACGGTGACAGACTGTTCTTGATTATTGCCATTGTGTATGTAGATCTCGTCTATTTTCATTTAGTAATGTTCAGTTATTCTCACCCTTTATATTTAATTTTAAATTACTGCTTATTGAAACAAAAACTAATAAAAATTTACAGAACGTTCCGGCTTACTAAATCTGCCTTCTTGTTTTCGTAACCTAGTTTGGAAAAAAATTATTTCCAACAATATTGTTTTTTTGGTTACCAGCAATACTTTTATGAAGAAAAAATTATTAACAGCTATTCATTGTCGAGGAAAAATTGTTACCAGCAATGCATTTTTGTAGGAAAGTTTTTACCAGCAGTACGTTTTTGAAGAAAGAGTTATTGCCAGCAATATAGTTTTGAAGGAAAAATAGTTATCGGAGATAATAATATAATTTCTCCTTCAATTTTGAAGGATATATCGAATTATCATCAATAAAGTTTCGTAAAGGAATATTAACAGCAATACGTCTTTGAAAAAATGTTACCAGCAATATATTTTTGGAAAAAATATTACCAGCAATACATTTTTGGGAAAATATTACATGCAATCGATTTTAAAAGAAAGGATATTACTAGAAACGGGTTTTTTTTGGGGGGGGGTAAGAAAAATATTACCAGCAATGAAAATTTTGTCGGCATTAAATAACCAGTTGAAGTTGATATACCGTAAAGCTCAATCCATTAATCAATTAATCAATCACGTTCCGGCCTCTGTGTTCTCTTGCCTTCATCAAGTGTATATCGATGTGTGTAAACTACAGGGAATACTCAACGGAACCCTTTATTTAATCGATGGAGATAGACTGTTCTCGAACCAATGCTCATCAAAGAATATCTTTTTTTTTCTTGTTTAGTACCATTCAGTTATTTCTCACCCGTTCCCATTGAGTGCAAGTACCTAGGATTGAACTCACATGCACTATTTCACCAAATTCGCGAACAAGCGATTTAATCCACTGGGACATTTTTCCGTAGGGCCAGTTAATGTAAAATACCGGTTCCCGTACAATCATCGAAGTTAAGCAAGGTCGAGCCTGGGAAGTACTTAGATGGGTGAGCGCTTGGGAATACCAGTTGCTGTAAGCTTTGGTCTCCGGGTGGTGTAATGAATAATAGCACAGAATTGTTAATGGGAAACCCAATGGAAGGACGGTGGTTACAACGGCCGAGACATTGTCATAAAAACAACAAAGGCAAGGATAATAGTGCGAATATAAATAGTGTGAATAAAAGTTGTTTTTATGCATCGGGGAAAAGGCATCTTCACCCAGAGATGTCTTAAATAGATTAGTTTAATATATAAATCCTTCAAATCTATAAATCAACCATTAGTCCTTGCATGGAATACTGCTGCCATTTATGGTCGTGTGCCCTCGTTGTACGTCTCGAGGTCTTCGACAAAATCCAGAGACAAATATGCATTGTTATAGGTCGTAATCTGGCAACCCGTCTACAGTCCCTTTCTCACAGACGTGTCTCTTCTACAAGTATTTTCACGACAACGACTCCGACGGGCTACTTTCCCTGTTTCCCAGATTGTATGAATTTAAGCGTACTACTAGGATGGCATTTTTGTTCCCACCCTTTCACTGTCCAAATTGTTGAATGTAACCGTCCCTTCTACTCCAACAGCTTCTTCTCTCGCACATCCCGTCTGTGGAACTCCCTTCCTGTAACTTGCTTTCCTGGTAACTATAATCTTCAAATATTCCAGTGTAATGTTAACCGACATCTTCTGATGCCTTGATCTTTTTCCCTGTTCTTTCCTTTATCTTTTCCTCAAACACGGCTCTTTACACTTGCTCTCACCCTCTGTAATCTCTTGCGTGCTAGTGACACTCCCGCCTTGTTTGGGATGGAATGCTTAAAAAACGGTTAACCCTAGCTTTGAACATGTTAAGATTGTAGTGATCGAGGAAACATCCTCTCCGGAGTGGGTTCTACAGTGCAGTGATTCACGGGAAAAGCTACTCTAGTGGAACCAATTTCTCGCCAGTGTGATACAGAGAGAATTACTACTATGTAAGTGAAATGGCGTGTTCTTGCCGTGAAGCTTCGACTTGGCTGGACCAGGGAATGTAGTTTTTCGGACCACTTTCCATGCGGTAAAGAAGCTAGAAGTTTGCCACATCAAGCCTGTAGGAGAAAGGTTGGAGGATGGAGAATAATTTGTCACCCACAAGGGATAGGAGACGCTTTTTAACTCCATAAAGGTTGGAGAGAGAGAGGTCTGGGCAGCTCCCGTCAAAAATATGACAGCAATACTCCATTTTTGGCCTGATCTGGATTTTATAAAATTAAATGACAGCTGGAGGAGTCAGGAATTTATTGTCGCAATACAGGGGGCCTATTTTAATATATAGAAATAAAATGTCATTTATATAAATGTTTTTGTTGGGGTCGCACGGAAAAATGCTTTCGTTAGTCGAATAACACATTTTCATTTGGAGATAATGTCTTTGGATTTCTCGAGCCGAATAAATATTCCAATTTGGAATTAATCCTGTTTCACAGACTATTCCACATTGCTGAATGAGGAACATCAATGCTTTCACCCTAACAACTTCCGGTCTGGCCCGTCTAATCTTCTGGGAGTTTTGAACGAAGCCCTTTCTTTAATCTATGACGGCAGAATTTTGTTAGCCATATCGTGATACGTCGTCTTATTTACACTATTTATATTCGGACTAGTGTCCTCAATTTTGTTGTTGCTATCAAAACGTTTCGGCCATTGTGTCTTCTGGCCTTCCCCAGGTTTTATATCGATCTAGATAACAAGAGATTATGAAATAAACACTTTAGTTAATCTACGGACTTTTTTCGTACCACTGCTCTTGTCTAGGGATATCGTTAAATCCGTATTATCCTATAAAATTAATGTCATGTAAATATATTCACTCGCTTCGTGATATCCAAAGACATTATCTCCAAATGAAAATGTTTTACTTGGCGAATGAAATCTTTCATATATGTATTTTTCAGTGCGGGAGGCTGGAGATTACCACGCCTGAAATGTTGTGGTAAGAAAAAAGATGAGGTCGGTAGTCCGAATCTAAATAGTATAAATAAGGATACATTTTCATTCCAGAAATTCAGACAGAAAATATCTCGTCTTGTTCATTTTGAATAGTAGACATTTAGACTCTGTAGAAACAAGACGAGTAATAATAGCATAGTAGAAAGAAAAAACAAGACGAGATATCCGTAGACATGGACTGCAAAATTAGCACAATCTACCCCCGTCAACTAAATAAATGTTTCAGTTACAATTCCCTGAACGTTATCGGGATCGAATACGCTTGGAGGTTAATAAGGAGGAAACGATGCGGTATTAAAAAAATGTGATCACATTAAAATTAAGCCACTGTTAGTCGATACCGGTTTTGGATGATACAACCTGGTGTTAAGTCGTATCAGTATTCTGGAACAGCGTCAGCTGTTGCTCGTCATGGAGTTTCCGCCTTGCTCTCGTTCTAAGGTCTGGACCCACCCTGAGTTGTTTCCAGAGCACAACTACGCCATCTGTGATGATCAGCCGGTGCATCTTCTTAACTCTCTGTGTCCACATCTTATCACGTTTACAGACATCTTTATAGCGCAACTGATGGTGGCCAACAGATCTCTCGCGAGAGGCTATTTCGCCGTACAGGGTGTCCTTCAGGATACGGACATCTTCCATCCGATGCACATGGCCAAGTCATCGCAGCCTGACTTGTTTGGGCTGCGTTTACATGGGAGGCCAGCGTACACGAAGATCTGTGTTTTGGGGGGTTGTTTCTCGACTATATGCCGAGGAGCCAGCGTATATTGAAACAATTCAGCATTCACTCTTGTTTGGCGTATGTTGTACAAATTTCGCAACAGAGTACTGATGATACAAGCGTAATAAACAGCCATCTTTGTAGTTGTTGTCACCTTTCGGTTCTCACGGGTACGGGTGATAAGTAGGCCTAGTGTTTTTGCAGAGATAGATTATCGCTGATGGTGGAATCGACGTACATGAACTGTTTTGTTGATTGATTGATTCACTTTTTTACGGTTTATCAATTCCTTGCAGGTTATTTAAAGCCAGAAAATATTTTTAGATTTTAAGAAAGACTTAGTGATACCAGCTTTACTAATTGTCCCATCGCTGGCTGGAGAAGATGTGGAGTCAAAACTTTCCCAATGTTATTGGCACGTATGTAAATATAACGGGCCCAACTGGAATTAGAACTCGGCATTTCCCTTTTCTCATCTACGAAGCCACTTACAAGAAAACCATTTTCAATTTTGCTTTCATCATTATGCTACAGAAAGACATTGTAATATATCTCGACAAAAATATGCCTTTGTTGACATACCATGATGTTGACATACCTCGATGTAAAGTGAGAAATAATCTGGGAGAGTCATTGTTTTCAAGTGAGGCGCAGCAGTAATGAGATTATATAGCTGTTACACCCGTTGTCAAATTAGGCATGGTTGGGCTTGTATCTTGGTTAAAATTTTGAAAGGTCTACTTGGAAATTGACAGCTTATTAATTTCTACCTTTGACGTTTAAGTACTGAATAATATTGATAAAAGTGTTGAGAAAATTTACTGCGAAAAAGAAGACAGAAGTTTTACTCGACTGTATCTTCTGCGTTTTTGTTTGTAATTCTGGACTACGATTTCAAATATCGATTTTAACATGCGATCTAAGGAAATTAGAGCTTCTTCTTTCTTTTTCCTGAAGTTAGGGGTGCTGTATAAGAGATACGTACAAAAACGCATTTTTTTTTATTTCTGTCTTTCTTTGTTTTTTTTTTCTTTTCTTCCAACCTTGAAAGTTTTATCGCATGTATTGCTTTGACAGCTGACATCGCTCCGAGCAAACTGTTAGAATTTTCTCAAACTTTATACCGATTCTTTTCACTATGATTTTTCTCTTCGAATTTAAAAAAAGAAGAATGAAGTCTCATGTCACCTTGACACGTAACATCATGGCGCATAAATTCGTCTAAATTTTTCATGAGTTTTCAAAATCCCAGCGTTTCTGTTTGCAAACTTCCATCGGGAAGATTTCTTGTTCAAGGGATTTTTTTTTTCGTATCACTCTTTTTTGATGGGTTTTAAAGCGTAATATTACTACGCATCTGAAAGAAATCTAAAGCGGATATAAAATTTCCAATATTGAATCCGTATCGCTAGTAATTTTCTTCTACACTTGCAACTTCGGGACGAAATAACTGTCACAATTTATAAACATTTTGCAGTATTTTCATCTTCATTTTTACCACATTTGAAATGGTAAAAGAACCCGGAAACGGCGAAACATCGGAGACGTTATTCTAAAGAATCAGAGAAATATATAGTTTGTTATTTACTAGATAAGCCAAGATTGACAAAAACCACATGAAGCACTAATGTTTGAACTCATAATTCATAAGAATAAGGAACCAGACTCTCTCGCTCGTTAACCATTACACAACTCGAGTCTTCCATTGCAATAAATACCACTAAATGTTGTCTTACATACATCTTATACTAAAAACATCTATCTCGCGGTTGGGAACGTATTATGATGCATGATATTCAAAGTCTAACCTAATTCTGGGGTTTTGAACATTTAAAGGAATATATATATATATATATATATATATATATATATATATATATATATATATATATATATATATATAATTCCACCTTACTAACCAGACATATCAGGTATGTTAGCTTTTATTTCCCTGTCAGTTTCAATTGGCGTGTCCCAGAGGATAGTTACATCATTATTTTGTATTTGGTTGGTGCTCATACCATCTCTTATTGGTTTCGATTTTGTGCTTCTTTCATATCTTCCAATATACATATTATTATTATTATCATTATTATTATTAATATTTCATTTGATTTCTGTTTTGCTTTCTCAAATTCCTTGACTGCTATGTTAGCTGGGCAAATGTTATCAATTAGTTAATAACTTTTTCTTTTCGACTTTTGACAATTATGTCCGCCTTATTTGATTCAATGTTCCTGTCTGTAAGGACGGTATAATCCCATAGAATTTTGATGTCTTCTTTTTCTGTAATCGGTTCTGGGTGTTGATTATTCCAGTGTTA